TTTGTTCTTTTTTTCTTTTCCTTTCGACATGTCATCATGTTATGCTAATTTTGGCCAATGTGAAGATAACTCTAAGATGTTAATTACCAGTAACTGGAAGTGGTGCAAAAGAGCTACGATGAGGAAGTTTTGGGTTTCATATGAACGAAAGAATGCTTAAAGCATCAATTTTGCCTGCAGGTCTTGCTGACTCCAAGTCATTTAGCTATTGTCATGGAATATGCAGCTGGTGGTGAACTTTTTGAGAGGATCTGCAGTGCTGGTAGATTTAGTGAAGATGAGGTTAGCTTGTTTAGGTTATTTAGCATGTTTAATTAAAAGTCCTTTAGTTTTTCTGCATTTGGAAATTATTTGTAAGCATCCAGTCCATGACTGTGTTTGATGGTAATTCCACTTCATGGCAGGCAAGATTTTTCTTCCAGCAGCTGATATCTGGAGTCAGCTATTGTCATTCCATGGTATGTTTATATTTGAAAAACAGAAAAAGAAAAAAAAAAGCACTTTTATTACCAAATGCTTTCGTGTTTACTGTTTATTTTCTTACATTTGCCAGTAATTTTACCGCAGGAAATTTGTCACAGGGATCTGAAACTGGAAAATACACTCTTAGATGGAAGTGCAACACCACGTCTTAAAATATGCGACTTTGGATACTCCAAGGTTTATGATTTTCTTGTTGAATAAGACTTTATTTTGTTGAGTCCAGGAAAATTATTTTGGTGATCTGTTGTCCAATATATGTTAATGTTTATTTACTACCTTGCAGTCTGCTCTGTTGCACTCACAACCAAAATCAACAGTTGGAACGCCTGCATACATTGCTCCAGAGGTTCTATCACGGAAGGAATATGACGGAAAGGTATCTAGTTTCCATATTGTTTTCCAGGCCAGTCTCACAAGTTCAATCATGTTCTCGCATTTTACTTTTTGTTGGACTTAGTAGTCTGACCATCTATGTATTAGGCATAAATTTATCCATTTGATTTGCTTTCTATGCTGGTACAACTTGGTAGATTGCAGATGTTTGGTCCTGTGGTGTGACGCTATACGTGATGTTGGTAGGAGCATATCCTTTTGAGGATCCTGAAGATCCTAGAAATTTTCGTAAGACCATCGAGGTGAGCTTCAACTTATTCAGCACACATGGTAGTTGAACATAGTGATCTTTAGGGCAAAAGGTTATGGTTTCCAAACAATTGATTTATTGCAATTTTTGAAACAGAGAATTATGAGTATCCAGTACTCCATACCCGACTATGTACGTGTTTCTGCAGGCTGCAAGCAGCTACTTTCTCGTATTTTTGTTGCCAACCCTTCCAAGGTAAACCAGTTCCTTGATAAGTTTCTTATGTTTCCTTTTTGTTCACTTGAGGCACAAGAACAAGACATGGAGCTAAGCAGATGAGTATGAACAATGTTATAAATGCAGTATCCGATGCTATTAAAATCAAATTCTGTTTTGACTGATATAGAAACAACCTCTCAAGACTTAACTATATATAGGTTCTGTACTAACAATCCTGTCCATGTCCTCATGGCAGAGGATCACTCTTCCTGAGATAAAACAGCACCCTTGGTTTCTGAAAAATCTGCCAAAAGAGCTCATTGAGGCTGAGAAAACAAACTATGCGGCAGTGGAGCGAGACCAACTACAGAAAATTGAAGAAATAAATAGGATCATAGATGAGGCAAGGACACCAGGGCAAGGATCCAAAGCAGGCGGCCTAGCTGTTGCCGGGCCATCCGACTCTGATGATGTAGAGGCTGATTTGGACTCCGAAGTCGATGTCAGTGGTGACTTTGCAGGCCCTCCATGAGCGTTTGGAGCTTGTTTACACAAAGCAGTACTTTGTTTGAACATTCATGATGTTGTTCACATTGTATGGTAGACTCTATGCTATACACATTTGAACAAATAATTCGACCATGTTGATCTGGGGATTGAGGTATTTTTACATTGTATCTAGATTGTACTGGAACATATTTTGATCCTTAATGTGATTTTTTTATATACTTCAAGTACTTACCTGCATAATTTAATACATCTAGTATTTTAACAAAACTATCTTGAATGCAAAGGGGCTTTAAAATCATAATAAATTCCAAAGTAGATATGACACTCTGCCACATTAATCATATGATTGTAAACCTAGCCTATAGACATCTGTCATGGTGAAAAGGTAAAATCTGTTTTCACCTATTCTTTGGCTGGTAAAATCTCTTTTACTTGAGACTCACAAGCAGATTTTTTATTTATTTATAAACATTATAAATAAACTAATATTTTTGTGAAACTCTACAAACTAAAGTTACAAACCGACTAATCTAGAAGGTTTTCCTCATTATCTATGGAGTGCATTGATAATGCTTTTGTACAGTCAACCAGACTTGTGAAATAAATGTTGATACAAGTGTTTGTTCTCATTTCTAGATAGTCTGGCACATACATAAAAAGGGAGTTCAGTTTTGAAGGAAAAAAATTAGGCTAAATAGGTCTTTCAGTTTCAAGCCTACAATATTATGAGCGAAATCTACCGAAAAGCGTTTGGTTGAGTGGTCAGTCCCATGGAACTCTCTCACATGGTTTGAGGTTCCTCTACTCATGGTACCGATCTAGCTATTTGCTTCATGCCTCCTAAATTCAATTATGAGAAACAAAGGGCTTGCAGCTCAAGTGATTAAGAGCAAAGTTACCCCGTGCACTTAGATTTTCCTCCTCCCTAATATCGCTTGTATAAACTGTTAGGAGTAGAGTTTGGGGAGAAGGTGGCCAAAAGTAGGGTTTGAAGTCTCTGTCTTTGAACCTGATATAGATGATGTTCTATAATCTAATGAATTGATGTTTGAAATTAGGCAAGAGTTCAAAAACTAAATTGGAGCCTTGTTTCTTTCAAGGTAGTGGAAGACTTAAAAATGGGGTTGAGATGAGTAGGGTAGGGATAGTGGGTTGGTTGGCGTAAAGGATAAGTATCTGTAAGAGACTTGACTCCACTGTTGCACATGCATGGGCTGCCCATCACTATCTGGGGCTTGTAATTTCGAGAATCTTCTACTGTCCTAATTTTCAATGAATATATATCTATATTGGGAGTTCCCTAATCAATAGCGTTTGTAGTCCAACGGTTAGGATAATTGCCTTCCAAGCAATAGACCCGGGTTCGACTCCCGGCAGACGCATAAAATATTCTTTTTGTCCATCTGTAAAAAGTGGATTGAGAAATCTTCATAGGAATGGGTTATAATTTTTTCGTGTGGTTGATTGAATGACTTTGTATGAGAATTTAATTTCATGACTTTCAATCATATATAAGCCATGGGTTATAATATTCTTTTTCTTTTATTTAGAGTGCTACTAAACAAACTCTAAAATTAACTGAGTACACCCTATTACCAAATTATGTATTGAATTACTAATGTACCATAATATTAAATAACTAAAAAAAATTACATTAAATTGTGAAATAAATTTAATTTTAATAAGTAGACTGTAATTTTAATAAGAAAATGCCACCAAAAGAAAGAAGTGGAGAACGAAATGGCGAAGCCATGAGGGAAACATGCAGACAAACACTAATCAACCTCCATCGAAATATCAGAGATTTGTAGAAAAGATGTTGAAACAACTTCCTGGTCCCCAAAGAGACCCACACAAATTAAAGGGAAGAAAACCTAGGGATAGCTACAAACTTAGTGCAGGAAACAAATGTTGAACATTACAAGACAGCTGGCTATGTCAATCAAATAGACCAGCATATAATTGGACGTATCAACTTGGGAAGAAGTTAGCAAATCTATTCTTACAGCAGCATATTAAATTAAATTTTTTGATGCAAATCCAAAATCTGAAAGAGGATACGAATTCATGTAAAAAGAGACACCTCGTTTAGGATTAGAGTGTATCATGAGTATTTTTGGTAGTTAAATAAGGTGTACTTGGTTAATTTGATTAAAATATTTGGGTGTATTTGGACCATATGGTGTACTCAATTAATTTTAAGTTTCGTTTAGCAGCACTCTTCATTTATTACGCATGATTGATTGAATGACTTTGTATGAGAATTTAATTTCATGACTTTCAATCATATATAAGTCACGAATTGAGAAATTTTCACAGAATTAGGTTATAATTTTTTTTTCCTTTTATTTATTACGTGTGATTGATTGAATGACTTTGTATAAGGAGTTGTTCAAATGCAATGAACTAATTCTTTCACGGATTGTGTGGGTTAATTGCCACGTAATGAAATGAAATTCTTAAAAATTAACACTAAATTGATGTATTTCTAAAGAGCTTTGCATTAGACTGGAGCGCACCGCAGCCTAAGGGTGGCTCTGCCCTTACTTGACTTGTCCAAAATAGAGGCTTGGTGCCATAGAGAAAACAGAGACATGCCACAATGTGATTCACTTGGTTAGAACGAGTCAAAGTAAACATGAAAGAGAAAACAACATGGTACATGGATTTTCAACCAACAAAAATAAAAAAAACATGATACATGGACATGTTCCATACCCTTTTTCACACATTTGACATGTTCTATTCAGTCTTAATACACTTTTCTCCAATTAGCTCTAGGCCTTCAGCTAATTGATTGCTTGGAAATTACATGATCTCATCATTTCATTCGATTATAAAATAATTATAATGTGGTCAGTGTGGAGACTTGCTCAATTACAAGTATAAAAATGGAAAAATGCTTGGCTCATTCGTTGCAGTGAGTGCGTAGAAATTGTTCTTTTGTGCTTTAATGAGCTATTTTTGTCCAGTATGTCAAAAATAAAATTGTCACGTAAATATTCTCAATTTCCACCTAAGTATGATGGAGAATGTTAAGTTTGTCAACATCCAAGTGTTTACAATCATATTATTATTTGAAATGCGAAGGACATTTCCATGTTACCATCCACCAATGAGCCAAGAAAACCAAAAAGTGCTTTGAAAAATTCAACATAAACAACAGCCCCCCGCCACCCCTTCCACACACAAAAAACCACTTCCTTATGTAAGTGCACAAGCTAGCTTGCTGTCTATCTGTGCCCCAAAACCCTCTGCTAGTAGAAAACTAAAGAGAGAAGAGACCATGAAGGGAGGAAGGCCATCGTCGTCGTCACCGGCTTTCGGGCTCTTATTAGTTCTTGTGGTTGTTCTTGGCATGGGGGAGGTGATCAAAATGGGTGGTGCAGCCCCAAGTGCTGCCCAGTGCCATGAGGAGAGGGCGCTTGCGGTTACTGCATGCATGCCGGTGGTGTTTGGTAAGCTTCCAACGCCACAGTGTTGCGAACGCGCAAGGGTCAGCCATACTGAATGCATATGCCCTGTCATCACCCCCAAGGTTGCAGCCACCATTCACGACATCAACCGCGCCGTCCGCCTCATTGAAGGGTGTGGTAGGAGGGTGCCTCGCCACTTCAAGTGTGGGAGTAAGAACCTCTCTCTCTCTCTCTAATACGGCAAAATTTTGAATTTATACAAATCCCGGTTCAATTAAAATCTTGTTTACCTTGTAAGCTTGATACAAACAGAGTATATAGCTTGCTATTTGTGGATTATCATGTTTTAATTTGTACTAAACTGAAGTTCCTTTTCTGTTCATGTTTTAATTGCAGGCATCACCACCCCATGATAGTTGCGCTCAGGTTGCCTCAACAATAATTGCTGCCTTTTCCGGCAACAAATAAGTTGAAGTTATAGTTTCCTACGAATTGGTCTGACAACCTTCTCTCTGTTAGGTTGTAGTAATAAAGTTAAATAAACAGATACCCTGTGTTTTAATTCAAGAACATCATGATGATCAATTGATGTAATATCGTAATTCTAGTCCGTCGTGTTATTAGATTAACAGGCGGTGTTGAAGAAAAACTGTAAATCTCTAAACATAATTTCACCACCACTAATCAATTAATGGGGTTTTATTATTTTAGGTTCGACCCATTCGAGACACAAGTCTCTTAATTACAATCCCTCGCTACAAGGGAAAACCCTTTGATTCCATCATAAAGAAACAGAATGTATGTGTTTGGTTTTGCGGCTGCTCCCAAGTTCAACCTCAGGGTGCCTACGTATCCTTTGCAGGAATCAAGCCACTCGTAGTTCAAAGATTCGCAATGAATAGATGACTCATTGCAAAAAAAAAAGGAATTTGAATGAATTTGATTGAGGGGTGTTTGAGTGAATTTAGCTAAATAAGTCAGGGATTCGATATGGAGTTGTGTTTGGGATGGTTGCATCTAGATTGAATCTCTAGATTGCCTACGTACCCTTTCAAAGGGATCAAACCAACGTAGTTCGGACTTGATTTGTGTGGAGATTTGATTGGTGAGAATTTGGTTGCGGTAACCAGTGATTCAAATTTGGTTGCGGTTGCGTCTATTGAGATGTTAGACTGCCTACGTACCCTTAACGGGATCAAACCGACGTAGTTCCAAGAATGATTTGGGTGGAGATTTGATTGATGAGAATTTGGTTGTGGTTGCGTCTATTGAGATGTTAGACTGCCTACGTACCCTTAACGGGATCAAACCGACGTAGTTCCAAGAATGATTTGGGTGGAGATTTGATTGATGAGAATTTGGTTGTGGTTGCGTCTATTGAGATGTTAGACTGCCTACGTACCCTTAACGGGATCAAACCGACGTAGTTCCAAGAATGATTTGGGTGGAGATTTGATTGATGAGAATTTGGTTGTGGTTGCGTCTATTGAGATGTTAGACTGCCTACGTACCCTTAACGGGATCAAACCGACGTAGTTCCAAGAATGATTTGGGTGGAGATTTGATTGATGAGAATTTGGTTGTGGTTGCGTCTATTGAGATGTTAGACTGCCTACGTACCCTTAACGGGATCAAACCGACGTAGTTCCAAGAATGATTTGGGTGGAGATTTGATTGATGAGAATTTGGTTGTGGTTGCGTCTATTGAGATGTTAGACTGCCTACGTACCCTTAACGGGATCAAACCGACGTAGTTCCAAGAATGATTTGGGTGGAGATTTGATTGATGAGAATTTGGTTGTGGTTGCGTCTATTGAGATGTTAGACTGCCTACGTACCCTTAACGGGATCAAACCGACGTAGTTCCAAGAATGATTTGGGTGGAGATTTGATTGATGAGAATTTGGTTGTGGTTGCGTCTATTGAGATGTTAGACTGCCTACGTACCCTTAACGGGATCAAACCGACGTAGTTCCAAGAATGATTTGGGTGGAGATTTGATTGATGAGAATTTGGTTGTGGTTGCGTCTATTGAGATGTTAGACTGCCTACGTACCCTTAACGGGATCAAACCGACGTAGTTCCAAGAATGATTTGGGTGGAGATTTGATTGATGAGAATTTGGTTGTGGTTGCGTCTATTGAGATGTTAGACTGCCTACGTACCCTTAACGGGATCAAACCGACGTAGTTCCAAGAATGATTTGGGTGGAGATTTGATTGATGAGAATTTGGTTGTGGTTGCGTCTATTGAGATGTTAGACTGCCTACGTACCCTTAACGGGATCAAACCGACGTAGTTCCAAGAATGATTTGGGTGGAGATTTGATTGATGAGAATTTGGTTGTGGTTGCGTCTATTGAGATGTTAGACTGCCTACGTACCCTTAACGGGATCAAACCGACGTAGTTCCAAGAATGATTTGGGTGGAGATTTGATTGATGAGAATTTGGTTGTGGTTGCGTCTATTGAGATGTTAGACTGCCTACGTACCCTTAACGGGATCAAACCGACGTAGTTCCAAGAATGATTTGGGTGGAGATTTGATTGATGAGAATTTGGTTGTGGTTGCGTCTATTGAGATGTTAGACTGCCTACGTACCCTTAACGGGATCAAACCGACGTAGTTCCAAGAATGATTTGGGTGGAGATTTGATTGATGAGAATTTGGTTGTGGTTGCGTCTATTGAGATGTTAGACTGCCTACGTACCCTTAACGGGATCAAACCGACGTAGTTCCAAGAATGATTTGGGTGGAGATTTGATTGATGAGAATTTGGTTGTGGTTGCGTCTATTGAGATGTTAGACTGCCTACGTACCCTTAACGGGATCAAACCGACGTAGTTCCAAGAATGATTTGGGTGGAGATTTGATTGATGAGAATTTGGTTGTGGTTGCGTCTATTGAGATGTTAGACTGCCTACGTACCCTTAACGGGATCAAACCGACGTAGTTCCAAGAATGATTTGGGTGGAGATTTGATTGATGAGAATTTGGTTGTGGTTGCGTCTATTGAGATGTTAGACTGCCTACGTACCCTTAACGGGATCAAACCGACGTAGTTCCAAGAATGATTTGGGTGGAGATTTGATTGATGAGAATTTGGTTGTGGTTGCGTCTATTGAGATGTTAGACTGCCTACGTACCCTTAACGGGATCAAACCGACGTAGTTCCAAGAATGATTTGGGTGGAGATTTGATTGATGAGAATTTGGTTGTGGTTGCGTCTATTGAGATGTTAGACTGCCTACGTACCCTTAACGGGATCAAACCGACGTAGTTCCAAGAATGATTTGGGTGGAGATTTGATTGATGAGAATTTGGTTGTGGTTGCGTCTATTGAGATGTTAGACTGCCTACGTACCCTTAACGGGATCAAACCGACGTAGTTCCAAGAATGATTTGGGTGGAGATTTGATTGATGAGAATTTGGTTGTGGTTGCGTCTATTGAGATGTTAGACTGCCTACGTACCCTTAACGGGATCAAACCGACGTAGTTCCAAGAATGATTTGGGTGGAGATTTGATTGATGAGAATTTGGTTGTGGTTGCGTCTATTGAGATGTTAGACTGCCTACGTACCCTTAACGGGATCAAACCGACGTAGTTCCAAGAATGATTTGGGTGGAGATTTGATTGATGAGAATTTGGTTGTGGTTGCGTCTATTGAGATGTTAGACTGCCTACGTACCCTTAACGGGATCAAACCGACGTAGTTCCAAGAATGATTTGGGTGGAGATTTGATTGATGAGAATTTGGTTGTGGTTGCGTCTATTGAGATGTTAGACTGCCTACGTACCCTTAACGGGATCAAACCGACGTAGTTCCAAGAATGATTTGGGTGGAGATTTGATTGATGAGAATTTGGTTGTGGTTGCGTCTATTGAGATGTTAGACTGCCTACGTACCCTTAACGGGATCAAACCGACGTAGTTCCAAGAATGATTTGGGTGGAGATTTGATTGATGAGAATTTGGTTGTGGTTGCGTCTATTGAGATGTTAGACTGCCTACGTACCCTTAACGGGATCAAACCGACGTAGTTCCAAGAATGATTTGGGTGGAGATTTGATTGATGAGAATTTGGTTGTGGTTGCGTCTATTGAGATGTTAGACTGCCTACGTACCCTTAACGGGATCAAACCGACGTAGTTCCAAGAATGATTTGGGTGGAGATTTGATTGATGAGAATTTGGTTGTGGTTGCGTCTATTGAGATGTTAGACTGCCTACGTACCCTTAACGGGATCAAACCGACGTAGTTCCAAGAATGATTTGGGTGGAGATTTGATTGATGAGAATTTGGTTGTGGTTGCGTCTATTGAGATGTTAGACTGCCTACGTACCCTTAACGGGATCAAACCGACGTAGTTCCAAGAATGATTTGGGTGGAGATTTGATTGATGAGAATTTGGTTGTGGTTGCGTCTATTGAGATGTTAGACTGCCTACGTACCCTTAACGGGATCAAACCGACGTAGTTCCAAGAATGATTTGGGTACTTGCTCCAGCAGTATTGGGACTTATTTATCATGCCCTTGGTACAGTTGCTACTCATCGTAGGGGTCCTGGTTTAGCAAATGTATATCTTCCCATTCATTATGTGATTGGATGGTTAGGGGAGCATTTTCCTGATTTGATCAATCGTCGGTGTGATAATAATTTCCCAGAACATTACCCGCTTCTAGCAAGGTATAGCCAGATTGAAGCCAAATATGTTAGCTCTAATCAGACTAGAATCATCTTCAGGAGCGAGTTTATGGTTTATCGCCCTAGTGTCTTCCTCGCACATGAAGATTGCATTCTTTTAGACACGGAGAGTCTTGCAGACGATGCCTTTGAGTTCTTGGTTTGCATGCGCTCTGCACTACTTCCTCTCAGGGTGGGTGGCGATCTTTGGCTGGAGCCTTACTACCCAAATAGATTTGCCCGCCAGTTTGGCTTTGATCAAGGAGTTCCGGCAAACAAGCTTTTATTTAGTGTATGTGAGAGGCAGCGATGCGGGATTGAGAAGTTGGCAAGAGCCCAAGCGGTCCTTTTGCGCAAAGATACCACGGCACGTTTCTATATTCCGCGCTCCACCCGCATTGGAGAATGCTCTTGGTGGTATTGTAGATGGTGGATGACTGCATGTGCACCTTACATGGGCTTTTCTGTGTCGAAAATTTTCTCAGTGGTAGACAGACATGTCCCAAGAAGGGACCACGTCTTTGTGACTGATAATTTGAAAAGTATCTCGACAGGCATGAACAAAAGCGGTTTTAATTCATCTTCATCTCCACATGGTGCTTCTTCGAGCAGAGGACACAAGAAGAGAATTCATAATGCTAAAGGGCAACATTTCTCAGGGGTTAATCACGTGATGCACCAATCCCAAAGAGTTAATCGAGACTCACACCTCAAACGGGCACGACATGAAAATTGCAACAGGGCTGAGGATGGAAGATCTAGCCATATACCCAATGAAGAAATAAGGTTTGATGATATCCCTTTTCCTTGCGAAATGGAGTCTATTAATGCAGATAACCCAGCCTTTGAGGTCATTTCTTCAAGTGAGGAGGAAAACATTCATCATGAGAGCGCCAACTCCAACATGAGTGGTAGTGGGTCAGATCTCCTGGCTGAAGTGTCTGAATTTCAGAAAGTTCGAAATAGCCCAACTGATGGTCAATTTCTA